CCCCAAAACCCCAAAACCCCAAAACCCCATTATGATAAATTTGCAAATTTTTTAATTAGTATAATAATAATAAAAATGAGACAAAAAATGAAAGTAGCATTATGTGTTGCTGAAAAACCTACAGTAGCTAAGTCTGTTTCAGAGTTTCTCTCTCAGGGTAGATATTAAAGAGTAAATTTGAAGCTAATAATTAATGATTTTATAGATTCAATCAAATTCTATTTACAACCCTATATTTCGATTCAACTATACACTAAATAATCAAGACTATCTCATAAATTTTACATCAGTAATCATAATAAACTTTTATCAAATTTAAAGGTACTGGGTCATGTGAAAACATAGAAGTTTCAAAATGATTATAATAACTGGAATTCAGATCATAAAGAATTGCTTACAGGTACAAATTGAAGATAATAGTTTTCTAATAAATTATAGCCCAGATTGTAAAAGTATTAATGCAAGGGTAAGAAGGAATCTCTCAAAATCTCAAAGAACTAAGTTAACAGGCTCATGAATTGATGCTATGGTTAGATTGCGATCGAGAGGGAGAAGCTATCGCATTTGATGTAAATTTTTTCTAATTCATTATTGAAAGGTGGCAGATATATGCAAAGAATCTAATCAGTAGCTCTTGGTTAGAAGAGCTCATTTCTCAGCGTTGACCTATGAAGATACTTAAAATGCAATTAAAAATTTGCAGGTAAATTTTTAGTATTCGCTTAAATTAAATAAAAGATGCCTAATAAAAACCTTGCAGATGCAGTCAATGCAAGATAAGAAATAGATCTTAGGATAGGAGCTATTTTTACTAGAATGCAAACAGTTAATTTTAGAAATGCTGTTTTTAACAATCCATCAGCCCTAATAAGCTATGGTCCATGCTAATTTCCTACATTAGGTTTTGTTGTTGAACGAGCTAATGAGATTAAATAATTCAAATCTAATACTAATTTCAAACTTCTTCTAAAATATGTTGAAGTTACGTAAGATGCTGACATTAAGCATATGAACTTTGACCATTAGACAGAATAAGCCCTTTCAAAAACAGAAATTTAGGAAAAGATATTATAAATTGAAGGTGAAAATGCAAAAGTAGTATCCGTCTCTAAAAATCCTAAATATAAACCAAGACCAACTCCATTGAACACTATTGAAGCATAGAAACTCATATCTAATAAACTTGACATGGCATCTGATATAGCAATGATTAAGATGGAAAGTCTTTATTAAAAGGGACTAATAAGTTACCCAAGAACAGAGACAAATACTTATCATAGTTCAATCAATCTTAGAACCATTGTTAAAGAGCTTAGTCATAATAATAAATATAATGAATTTACTAGATAAATATTGGAATCTAAAATGTGGGGCGGCCCAAGAAACGGAAACCTAGACGATAAAGCGCATCCTCCAATTCATCCAGTGAGACATTACAATCCTGAAAACTCTTAATTTAAACTAGATGCTCAAGAAGAGCAAGTTTATGATATAATCTGCAGACATTTTCTAGCTTCTATTTCAAAAGACGCAGTGGCTGAAGAAACTACTGTGATTGTATCACTAGATAATGAAACTTTTAAAGGAACTGGTCAAATAGTAAAGTAGTCAAATTATTTAGAAATATACCACCTAGACTAATGGGAGTCTGATAAATTCCCTGAATTTCAAGAGGGACAAGCCCTTAAAAAATTTTAGTTAGAGTTAAAAAGGAATACTACAAAACCACCTTCATATTTATCTGAATCAGATTTAATTGATAAAATGGATTAGCATGGAATAGGCACTGATGCAACTATTCATGAACATATCAGGAAGATTCAAGCAAGGGAATATGCTTATAAGGTAAAGAAATATTTTAAGCCTACCACTTTAGGCCAGGCTTTAGTTCAAGCTTATGAGAAAATAGGTGTTGAGTTGTATAAGCCTGACTTAAGAGCAGATATGGAGAAGAAAATGAAACTTGTCTCATTGGGAGAGTTGGATAAAGATACATTTTTAAAGGAAACAATGAAATAAATGGAATAGGTATACGAGAAGGTTGAAAATCAATAACCTCTAATGATTGATTAATTCACCTAATCTTACAAACATGCCTTTACAAGCAGATATTATTATGATAAGAAGGATCAAACTTTTAAGTTCAGGGGAGCTGATGATGAGTTAGATAATTTGCCTGATTAGCAGATAATTTTTGATTAAAAATAAGAGCCAGTAAAAAAAAGAAATATTGTGAATAATCTGGTTTTAGGGAAATGTTAAAAGTAAATATTCATATATTTTACATAACTAACTTAGGTGCAAGAAAAATGACATGGTGATGAGGCTAAGCAATGAAGGTAATCCATTTATTGCTTGCCTTGGATTTCCTTAGTGCAGAAATTGTTTCCCATTACCTAAAGGTACATCAAATATTGTTGCGACCAATGAAAAATGTTAAACATGCGAAAGTTAAGGAAGAGATTTCTAAAAAATAAAGCTATTTCTTAATACCAATATGGTTACAGATTATATTAAGCCGTACCTAACTCTTGAAAAAGATTAATATAATGGAGTTTTCTGTGCATACTCAAATAAGAAGGTCAATATATTTTGCGATTAAAATTTCCATACGGTTTACAAGTCTCTAATTAAGAAATACTCATTTGAGTAAAATAAGCTAGCAAAATAAGATAATGAGGAGACCAGTTCAACTTCTCCTGAGAAAAAATCTGCACTAAAATTGAAACTCAGATCACCAGCTGTTGTTAAGGCAGTGAAATAAATTGAAAAAGAGATTAAAGTAGAAAATATAAAAATTAAAAAAGAGATTAAAGAATGTCCAACATGTGGAAAGAAAAGACATACCAAGGATAGCGATTGCTCTGAATATTAGAAAAAGGAAACAAAGTCTAAAAAATGAATAATTCTTAAATTAATTTAATAAATAAAATATCGAAATATTGATGAAACTTAGGAGACTCGGGGTTTTGGGGTTTTGGGGTTTTGGGG